GGGCGAGTGGGCAAAGTGGCCGGGGCTGGGCGGGGGCCAGGCACTCCTCTCCAAGCACGAAGTCACCAGCTATGTCCTTGTACTCTAGGCACTCACTGACCTTAAACCTTACCGATGCAGGGGGATGACAGGGCCCTACAGAACAATTGTGAAAGGTAGTAATGTCTGACCCCTCTTCCTGGTCTCTGAGCATCGCTAGGATGGTGTCGCATCTCTTCCACACACAACTAGCTGGGATCCCTGAAGAAGTTACGGTATTTAATCCCTTGAACCTCAGTTTTTCTCATCTGAGAAATGGAAATGATAACAATAAAAGTATCTGTGCCATAGGTATTGTAAGAGATAAATGAGATGAAGCCTGTAAGGAGCCTAGCAATGATAAATGCTCTATAAATGTTAACTATTATTACTGTTGTTATTAAAAAGATCATCCAGTCCTAACCTGTTTGGCTCAGTGGATAGAGCATGGGCCTGTGGACTGAAGGATCTCAGGTTCGATTCCGGTCAAGGGCACATGCCCGGGTTGCGGGCTCGATCCCCAGTTGGGGGCGTGCAGGAGGCATCTGATCAATCAATGATTCTCTTTCATCACTGATGTTTCTCTCTCTCTCTCTTCCTCTCTAAAATCAATAAAAATATATTTTTTTAATTAAAAAATCATTCACATTTACCTACCCTTTGGGGATAGAAAACATTTTTTGCCTGGAATACCAGTTTTCTTTAAAAAATATATATATTTTATTGATTCTCTACAGAGAGGAAGGGAGAGGGACAGAGAGTTAGAAACATCGATGAGAGAGAAACATCGACCAGCTGCCTCCTGCACACCCCCCACTGGGGATGTGCCTGCAACCAAGGTACATGCCCTTGACCGGAATCGAACCCAGGGCCCTTTAGTCCGCAGGCCGATGCTCTATCCACTGAGCCAAACCAGTCAGGGCTGGAATATCAGTTTTCAACAGCCAAAGTCAATTGCTAGAATGTAAAAAAAATCATACTAGACCAGTGGTTGGCAAACTGCGGCCCCTTGAGTGTGGTTCTTCCACAAAATACCACGTGTGGGCGCGCACGGAGAGTGCGATTGAAACTTTGTGGCCACACTCAAGGGGCCAAAGAGCCGCATGTGGCTCGCGAGCCGCAGTTTGCCGATCACTGTACTAGACCATAAGGATCCAAAGTTGGCTTCCTCCCTTGAGCTCCATAGTAAATACTAATAAATATTGGAACAGCAATGGCATCCAATATATAGGTTATTGATATGGTCTCGGGCTCCCTGTTGATAGGTTGTCTCATTTACCCTTTAAACAACCTCACAAGGTAGAGCCCCTTTTGCAATGAGGACATGACCCAGAGAGGAGAAGCACCCTGTGTAGGGTCACATAGTTGGGAGTGCTAGAGACAGGACTCAAATTCAGCTGTAGCTCCTGTTTTCCCATCTCAGGGAACAGTGTCACAGCAACCACTCAAGCAGATGCCTGAGACACCTTGATGCCCACCTGGCCTCTACCTTAATGTCAATCCATCAGCAAGCCCACCATCCCACCTTCAAATGTGACTTTATCCACTTCTTACTGTCTCTACTCACTTCACCCTTGTCTAAGCTGCCTTTCTCCTGAAAAAGCTCTAACAGCCTCCTTCATGTCACTTGCCTCTCTTAAGCCCATTGTCCACACTGAAGCCAGAGGGGCCTTTGAAAAACATAAATCAAATCACATTACCCCTGACCTTCCCCTTTAGAGCCCTTTAAGTCTTTCTGTTGCTCTTAGAATAAAACCCAAACTCCCTTCCAACAACTATAGGACCTTGCATGGTCTACGCCATGCTTATTATTCTAGCTTCATTTTAGATGGGTGGGTTTATCTTGACAACAGTGAATCTTCAGTTTTAGGGCCCTTGCTTTCATTGGTCCCTCCATGGTCCTGGGGGAAAACATAGCCATGTGTTCACCTGGGCACATGTTTTTGGAAATTTGGCAGAAGTAAGATATTTAACTGTAATCCTTTAAGATCAATGTCTCTTTCCACTCCCACTTTCTATCTATCACACTGTGTTGGTGATGGCAATGGAGGACCCGGAGGATGCAGCTAAGGCACAGTTGAATTAGGTATACATTTAATTTAGGTTCAGAGATGTTTTGGGCTGAATGTTTGTTTTCCCCCAAAGCTCATATATTAAAACTAGAGGCCAGGTGCATGA